ATCATTAGTACGACATTGTAATATGGCCTCAGTCACGGGTCGAATCATTATAGGCGTTCTATGCCATTTGTCCGCAAATCGAATCCGCGGGCTGGCCAAATTGTAACTTGTAACACGGGATAATCGGTGACATTACGAATGGAACACTCATTTGCATCCTATCGTCCCGTTAACACGATTTACCGGTCTGATTTTCTGCATTTTCATTATACGATTGACATTCACGACCTGTTTGACGTATCACATCGTCCGAACTTCTGAGTCTTGACGTAGTTATAATATCTATTTTTATCGTTATTAACCACGACTTAAATTGTTTCGGTCATTTTTACGGTTATTATTTATAGTGCGCAAAGATATCATTATTTATTAAATCGACGTTTCAAATATTTTATTTCGTATAAAACTCCGTTGTGTATTGATTACACAAAATTTATTTAGCTATTCAAATTAATTGAAAATTTCGGTAGGACTCCATACGCGCTGTGCGAGTTCAGTTGTTACTCCGATGGAAGTAATTAATTTACAATTGAGTACGGCGTGTTTTGGGTTAATTAAACAATACGAATATAGAATTGATTGGTTAAATGTGAAAAAGGAGCATCATCGAGGAGGAAATCGACGGTGAAAATGAAATGACTGTTGCGAAAGCAGTATCGTAAATTTCACCGATACGAGATAATATGGATAAAGGTATCATCGTTGGAACGAATGGCGGTAAAGTTAATTAAACACGCTTATTAACTGTTACTGCTAGCTAATTTAGAGATAAAACCGCGCAAGTAACTCGGCACAGTGTAATTGATATGAAGTTACACACAGTCAAGTCAAACAGTAGAAATAAATGGCTAACGATTTTATTTGCATTAACACGAACACGGGTAACCCATATTTAGTCTTTAAACGAAACAAATATAGTTATTTCTCATAATATCAATAAATATTGGAGATCATTACTAAAATCATTGTTTTCTCTAATGTTGTCATAAACAGAAGCATAGGTTTTAATGAAGTACTCGTGAATTTCTTAATATGAAAAATGCATTCAATAGAAATAAAACTATTTTATAATGAAATCAGTACAGTTTCAATATTATCAGTAAAAAAAAACACAATTTACATTACAGAATGTTTAATATTGAGATATGTGACTAGCAAATAGATTGTTCTTGTAGCACAGTTGGAAGTTATCAATGACAGTAATTTATGTATAGTCAATCTTGCAAGTACACAGTAGCGTTCCATTTTTCTTCCGGCTGCTTCTCTGTTGAGAACGAAAGGATTCACACGTGTAATTCTGTCAGTAACATAAGTATCTGATCCAGATTTCCATCACAAAGGCTACGTTCTACAAGGAACACGGGAAAGAAAGAAATTTAAAAATCAATCGCGAGTGTCTGACATTTTGTACGTGATTGGTTTCCATTTCTCTACTGGTAGTCCGTCCACTTTCCGTCCGTCGCGTCGTACCTTCGATCAGTTAAAAATCTTCACAAATCACTAAAGGCGATCGTGAAAGATCTGAGAGAAAAGAACACAGCGTCGACGAAGATGAATCAATTCGAAACATGAGAAGACTCTGTTGAAAGCAGCTGCTATCAGAGACCATTATTGAGGTTTTGCAATTATTCTTCAAACCTTTTTAGCAATTTAAATAGATCGATGCGGTGGAATATCAGCTTTCCAAATGGGAGACACTCTTTGATTTTGATAATCAAAAGGCTCTCGGAACATCTTCTATTGATGGCCAGTTCGTCATCACGAGAGCTCAACTTTGATGAAGACTCGGCGTTTATTAAGTGTGAACTCGTTAAAGGGTAGTGCTCAGCGACTTCATTAAAACTGTGGTGTTGTTCGATTATCTTTAGGAGTTGATAACGATTGCAAAAGGTAGTGAAGGATATACAGATCCAATAAGAAATCAGATTACGTTTAAGTACATCCTTGATAAACCAGAATATCTCGTCTGTACTTTATCGTTATAACTCATTTTAAATAATCAATTTTGATGAGGATACATCGCATTTCGCCAGATTTAACGGTAATCGTAGCGAGATTTCTCCCGAAGGAATCAGCGCAAGTCACGATAATTTAATGCACAATTCGTTTATCCCTCGCGGGATCACGGTCAGGCATTATTCACAGCTGTATATTCGAAATAGTTACTGCGTGTACCTACGCTTCAGCGAGAGGAGGGTTCTGTTACGTCCCACGAGACTGGTGTTATTTCACAGCGAGCTTTTTGTTCGGTATTGTGTACATATGTATCATCATTGGCTTTACACTGACCTCCTTTCGACGGTAAAAAATTGTCTGACAATTGCAAATGGACGAAACGAAGATTTGAAATTAAGTGCAAACGTCGTCGAATTTGTCAGAGATGGCTGAAGAAAAGAATCAAGCATTGAGACTATCTATCTCGTAACAATTTTCCATAGAGACTATCGACAGGAAAATATCGTAGAAAATAAATTGTAGTATCGGCAAAGAACTTCCGTAGGAGGAGAATCGAAGAAAAGAAAATCCGGAAGATAGTATTCCGAGCAGCGCAAATTTATGTCCGCGAGGATGGTGCATGGAATACCGGTGTGTACGGGATTTTTGGCACCGCGATTATTGTTTCAGAATTTATACTTATCGACGGATGAATGGCCCTGATACAAACCGCTCCCAGTCGCGGATAACGAATATACGTCATTGTTGGAATTCGAATTGTAGATTTCTGCCCTGCCGTGTCCCCTATGATGTTTGTCTTTTGCAACGGCCTGAATTTATACCCGCCGTCAGTTATCTCGCGCAGTTTCTGTCACAGATAAATTAGTCGGCCGATTTAAAATATTCATTGAAACGAGGCGTTCTGCAACGAGGCGCGGGTTATTTTACTTTCATTTCCGGTTCTTTGAGGCAAAAGAAACACGGCGAATTCGGGTTAGGTCGTTATAAGTTGGAATTTTCGTTTAAGACCGGAAAAGCGGGCAAGGAAAACGGACATTAATTAGTGAAATGAAACGCGGCACGTCTAACCGTGCTAATTTGCGGACAGCTCTGCTCGAAGCGCGACTTCTCGCGCGGATTTTTTGTCAAACCGTTTCGTTAATGACGACTTCCAAATTCAACGCTCACTCGAGCCTCGTTATTCCATTTTCCTCCTTTTCCTCTTTCGTCTTCTCCTCGTCCGCTCTTCCGTTTGTATGGCGAACCAAAAATTTGCTCGCTACTCGTCCTACCGCTAAGTTTTTTCCCCCAACCCTTCCCCCTTTCTCCACATCGTTTCCGGTTCGAAAAGTACGGCTCGTTGATTCGTTTCGAACGAGTGCCACTGCAAAAGTGATTTTCTGGTTTGCCTTGGCAAAGTTTTTTTAGAAAAGTAAAAGGAGGAACAAGCTGCCGTCGACGTTTCGCTGAAAATTACAGTTTCACGCGGCGACGGGATTTGAATGCGCGCCAGTAAAAAGAAGTAATTAGAGTTATTTCGTTTCAGTGAGCCGGATGAGAAAGAATACGCTCGAGGCGCGAAGAAAAATTAATTAACCACCCCCTCGTGATCGAGTAGCCATCGCGGCAAATAAGAAAGCGATTGTATTATAATTGAATCCACTCAATGTTTCATTTCAACTCTTCTCAAAAAGTGTTATAATTACTGTTTCGAACCGTCGCGTCGCTTTGAACAGCACTCAGCAAATTGTTCATTCTTAGAGAATGACTAGAGATTGAATGACAATTCTTAGAGAGACTAGAATCTTATGTATTTCATATATTTATTATACATCATATTATACCATGTTCAATGATATGATACTGGATGATGAGACGAAATGTAATAGATGATTTTTAATGCACCAGCATAATAATGCATTAGAGTTTTAGATAATAGAAATAATTCTTTTAATTTCTTTATTCTGCGCATGGTTCGCTGAATAAAACGAAATGAAGATGCGGCTCACAAGTACTTATGCTTTTGAAGAATACGTACTCGCCGCAATTGTTTCGAGTGTCGTCGATCGATAGCCACCCTTGCGTTACGTAAGCGATTTTGCGAGTTGTTAGAACAAGCTTATAACGCGTTGATTAATCAAGCGGCGAGCAGGCATTTCGGGTGAAATGTTATTCCGGTGGAAAAAGAATATTGTGGCGTAGTGGCTCGCTTAAATGTGCGTAAAATATTTCCGGTGACTGTTCCATGGCAATTCAGTTGCATCCGTGTCGTTGCGCTCGAAAGAACGCAAATTTTGTGAGCAAGCGATAATTGAATTCGTTTGGAAAACATCGTTTTTACCGATTCAATTTTACAGGTCGCGGACGCGAGCCAACTGGCTTGCTCGAATAATGTTTTTTAACCCGACATTCGCCACTTCCGGCTGGGTTTTACGCCGTTCTCGTTGGCTGCTCCGTTTTTATTCGAGCATCGCTTTTAATTTTTCGGGACGGATTGCGCGGTCTCTAATCCCGTGCATCCACTGGCGGACGATTAACCATTTCACGCATATTTATACGTCATACAGTGGACTGAACCAATGAAGTATGCGTCAAAGAGAATTTTCAAAGGAAACCAGATACCCCGATGGTTCTCGAAGTACTTCAAAGCGAAGGTGTTACAGAATATAAGAAAAACGAAGAGAACATTATACATAATATTTTTTTAAAAATATTACACCTCAGCGAATTTTCGGACTCTCTCCGACCTCGGAACGATAATCGATAAAGATCGACCGAGAAATTAAGTTCGCAGGGTGGCTTATCGATGATCTTGTAAAAATTTTCACCGGGCGGAACGAAATTTTCGCAGCAAACACGGTATCGCAAATCTGCATTGGTCTTTAATAAAGGTTCGTTAAAATTCCATTTTAGTTGGGTAAATGTTATTACAGCCAGATCCTTTCTCATCGAATTTTTAATTCACAATCATTCGGGCAAACTGATCGGTTGTAGATTGGAGAACTGAGTAAGGGGGTAGTTAGAGTTTTGAAAATCAAACGGGGGACGGGGAAAGAAGCGTTTACCTTGACAGATTGACCGCCTTCCGGCGGTTTCCTCTGGTTAGGGGCCCTCTCTACGGGGGCCCCAAGTAGTCACACTTGTCGATCACCAATATCCGGCGCTGTGACAGCTGGAAATTAAATCACCACCGTTAAACAACTCCGCCGCGTATACGTGGAACGACGACGATCGCGTAATCACGAATCGGCATTCTCGAGGAAATTGGAGAACGTGGAAATTATATGTCTTCCCCGATGAGAAGTACGCATTACGCTTGAGCTATTCTTAATAGAAGGGAACCTGCGTTTGTGTAATGTACGAAAGTAGATCGTGTCGACGATAGATCAGACGAGGAACGATCCATAAGTAGAGAGCCGCGTGTCCGGTCAGACAAGATCAAGTGCTACGAGCATTTTAGTTGCATGATCCGAGATACCGGCGACGCGATTAAATAAAAAGACAATTAGGTGTGTCACTTTTGCCTGAAGGTACCTAAAGTGAAAATCACTTTGCTGTTGGATTACCGGTAATCCAAGAATCATCGATTTCCTTGGCGAAAGAGCAGGGAAAATAATAGCCACGTGGGAAAAGTCTCTCATCCCCCTTTTTTTCTGCGACTTTAATCGCGTTCCACTCCCACTCTCTTAAGCTACGATAATTCGCTGGCACCTCCACCCGCCACCGCAGCAACGTTCTCCTGCCATATATTTTTAATCGCTTCCCCTTTCCTCTTCCCTTCTTCTACCGATCCTTCGAGCAAATTCACACCGGCACGGTTTCCCGATTTAAATCGCACGTTGGCTCGATTCCGGCGTTCAGAACATCTCACGGAAAAATCGCGAGTGCCGGTAAAGTTGGGACGTCGCTGCGGGATGAATGAGGTTCACGAAGGCAAAAGAAAAGCAGAAAATAGGAACGTCGTGTCGCTGCGGTCGATCAGCACCTTCTTTTCGTTGGCACTGCGCGACGGTGCGCTCGTGGAGAACGTGGAAAAACTGTAGCGAGAACGAAACGGGTAATTGGACACCGGCTGGCCATATTAGAGCACGGAGAGACAGACGGAGATAGTGGGATCGAAGGATGGTACGTGGAGAAGGAGTGGAAGCTGCGCGAACGCGAACAGCCAGAGAAAGAGGGAGAGAAACTGTGCAAGAGCTTGTGGAGGGAGGATACAAAAGCGGTGAAGAAGAAGGTAAAACGGGGGAAAAGTGACGAAGAAGAGCTTCCGTACGAAGTTGGAGCTTCGGATAAAGAGAAAAGTAGTGAAAGAAGAAAGAAAGAAAGAAAGAAAAGAGAACTATTGTGCATGAGAGGCGATAACGAATGGAGGTATAAATCGCAATTAAGCGGACATAAATAAAAATTTGATCGACCGTGCTATTCCTCGTAGATGAACGATAATAAAGTCACTAGCGAGCACCGGTTGGAACGAAAGATCGTGGCAATGATCGAAAAACCAGATCGATATTTTTAATTAATGTTAAAAAGACTTAGAGAGATGCCAGTCTCATTTTGTTTCCATTTTAAAATACTTAAAGAAATCTGCTGAATTTCTGACATTGCCTATTGTTAATGTAACTTGAAAGTAATAAACAATCTAGATCACTGTGAACCATTTCAGGCAGGAAAGTCGAAACTATAAGAACTACGAAAGCCCCTTGGGCGCAGAAAGTCGAGTCCGAGTTTCGAGACATCGGAAATCCGATGAAGAAGACATCTCTCCTGAGATTCATTAAAAAATTATGGCCGTATCATGGAAACGTATCGCCGTCGTACATTTTTCAGCACGATAATCCTTTTCCCTCGAGCGTCTCCGAGTTTAGGCACGGGAACAAGCATTTTCACGGCAACGATCGCGCGCGCGAGCGAAGCGTGCGCGCTGCTCGAGCTGCGCGAGCGTGTGCATCGTCGGCGCTGTACCGTTTTAGTAACGGAGCGCACCGGTGCGCACCGGCGTGCATTATCTAACACTTAAAATTAGACGGCCGATGGCGACGGCGAAAAGAGATCCTCTCTCGATGCCGAGACTCGGTCCGATCGCGGATTCCTCGTCCCTCTCGCGTGTACCAGCAGCCGTGTGTGGTCCAAACCGAGCAGGGTGGAGCGTAGCGATGCACACAAACGAGAAATGAAATTCACTCAGCACTTGATTTTATACGACGTATCACACGCGATATATTTTCCCAAAATATTCATTTTCCTCTGATGTTTTGTTCTTATTATTTCGTTTTTTTTAATCGTTTCCAGTCGATTCAATTACGTTCGCTTCGTTCAACGAATCGAGTCGTGGTACAGGAGATTACGATAAACGATAACGGACACTTTCAAGGAACTGGGACACCAAGAAGCGAAATAATGATACGCGACACTGGGTATATAAGACGCGTTCAACGATATTCTCCATATGGTTGCCGCGCTTTTCGCCACCGGTGTTGCACCGCGAGTACGAAGAATCGTGTGTGGTATTATCGTGTCGATGGAGGGTGATAGAATGCCGATTACGAGATTATACAAGACGCACCGCGTTCGTCCGGGCCGGCTGGCCGCCCGTCTCGGAGTGAATGTCTTATTAGTTATTTCTGGCCAGCTACTTCGTCGCTTGCTCCATTCCTGCTTCTTCTCTTTCTCCCCCGCCTCCTTCCTCGGCGTCTTTTCTTGATCCTCTGCCCGAGCTTATGCACCCCACTCTCTCCTCCACCTGCTCCCGTTCCTTTCTCGTTGCCCATATGGGCTACGTCGCGTCGCGTCGTCACATCGAACGCGATTCCTGTGAAACGACAGCATCGCGCCGCGTCAAGCTTTGCCTTTGAGCCGGCTCCGTCCCCTTTATCGGCTTTCGATCACTGTCCTTGAACCCCGCACGACTCGCGATTGTTTTTACGGCTTCTGGTGCATTACAAAAGTCGCATACTTCGTACACGGCACTGCGAATAAAATTGGATCAGACAGGATTAGGTGTACACCACCGTTTCCAAGTGGGATAGATACGTATCTCTAATCTGAAAAATATTCATTCGCAAATTACGTTTCACCCGGTAAAAATTTTTCTCGTTCCGGGAATATATTTTTAGAAAATATCCGACGGCAACGAAACCCGAAACTCTCGTTCGATTAAAGTCGCCGAGATTCATCATTCCTCTGGAGATAAGTAAGAAGATAGTAGCCGGATGTTTTAATATTCCTGGCGTACTGTTTAATGGGGAAAACTTTTTGTATCAGCAGCATTGCCTGTCCTCCCTTTCAACTCCTTCCTCGTCGATATAGCCTCGTAACGGGACGAACGATGTTTTCCTCTAAATGCAGATATTTCATCTCGCTGAGAATATCAGGTAGCGTGCAGACAAAGACCTAGAGACGGAGAATCGTTAAAGCATCCCTAATCTATTGCCATCAACGAAGAAAGAGCTTAAAGATGACAAAGTGGATACTTGGTGCTGGCGACTTATAGGTGGTACTAACGACCCTTACAACATCCCCATTCGTGGTTTCCCGTCCTTTCAAAGTTCACCCCTAATAAATGACGGAATATCACCAAGTTACGTCGAAACTATCTTTCTGAATAAGGCACGCCGGCAAACAGCGGAGAATGACTCGTCTATGAAACTGGCACTTACAAGTGCCTACCCATTTACTTATGAAAATTATTTATAACATCATTTATGAACGTGCACTTTACGTAACACATTTCTTTTATCATTTACACGTTGCAATATGCACTCATCTGATATCTTTCACATTTATATGCATGATAAGTATTCTTTGTATCTTCTGTATGAAATCTAGTATCAAAGGATCTCGAGAGCAATAGCGTAACGATCACTTTTTTTTTTTTTTCTTCGTCGTACGATTGCACTATTTTCATGACTCATTCCGCGATGCATGTCGGTAGGTGTTCGCGTTTTTACTTGCAGTGGGGTCAGCTACGAACGCCGCGCGATGAAATATCGACGATCTGCTCTTGACTTTGTTTCGAGGCTGACTCGACGATCCATCTTCCGCCGATTCTATACAATACGAGCGCGAACCGTCCGTAACGCGTTCCGCACACCATCGCATCGTCGTTGTACGGCGTATAGTTTGCGGTCTCGCGTCGAACGCACCGGTCGTGGCCCCCCCCCCCCCAAAATGACAGACTCATAATTAAATGTTGAATTATTATCGGTTCGACCTGGCCGTGCCATTAGCTCGAATTGTCACGGAATTCTGTTTCGCGTGCGCTTTACTACGCGCAACGCTGGTTAAATAACGAATGCAGTTGGATTAAAGGGAATTTCGTTTCCTTGCGTCCGCGAGATAAAAATGTCGTTTGGATCCGATAGTCGCATCGAAGGGCGTTCGGTACTTCGCGTCGATGGAACTGTATTATTCATGATTATAATGCGATGATTGAAGTGCAAAGTTCAGAATCGCTTGCCGGTTGGGAACTATCGTTGGCATTTCGGGGGATACTGAGAACGAGAGAATTTTTCTAAAAATAAAACGAGTGAAATTCCGATATCAGAGTTTCGATCGTAGTTTCATTGAAACCATGTACCAAGGTTTATAAAATTGATAGATACCTTGTACGAAAACGACCAAATCAAATATGTAAAAATTCTTTTATTGGTTTACAAATAAGCTAACAAATTAGTAGTCTACGGCTCCGTAATGAATACCAAGTTGTGGCTCGAAATTTTTATACCTTACTAACGTTGCAACTTCTTTATTTCGTATTTTCATTACCGCATCTCATTTTAAGCATCGGAAAAATATTTACATTTGTTCAACGTAATCGTCTTTTATTTTGTTGTAGTAACTAATTAATTTGAAATAAATTGAAATCACGGAAGAGAGACTCCGTCTTATACCCGATACGAAAATTGGAGCTGAAAGTTTTCAAGACAGGATAATAACTCATGGCGTTGTTGATGAATTAATATTTACCGAGCCGATATTTTCGCGGGTGCTTAATCCATTCCGCGATATCAGGCGCAAAGCGAAGGAAAGTTTCGTCGACATCAAAATAATTGCCCAGCCACTTAACGGGATTACCGTTGCAATTTCGAGATGAAGTTTCACCTACATAGCTCATTAGTCGTCTCGTCGGACGGCTCGATAAATAAACGAACGTTAGATGACTCAGAAGACAAATACCCCCGGTTGTTCGATGAGAATTTAGAACTGTTTAAGCAAGCTATCTTCGTCTCTTTTACAGCGAGAAACAAGCTGCGCTTACAATCCTCCATTTTGTCAATCTCATTTCGATCGTTATTTTAATTAAAGATCACATTTTTCATTGTCTTGTCCGTTTTTTTTTTTGCTGAGTAAAATGTCCGTTTGCCCTTTGACATAAATCAAATGAATTGTGAGTTAGGTATTACGATCAGTAATAATTTACATGTTACGCTCGGGATAAAAATTCGTATGCGACATTCAATTTATCATCGACGATTTATCATTTGATTCGGACATGGCGATTCAAGCGGCTGCAATTTTCATCGCGCGGCACGTTTCGCGATTTGAAAAACAGGAATTAACGTGTAAATACATCCGGTAGAGAATTTTCAATGTTCAGTCATTACATACGTGGAGGATTGAAGAAACAAGAGACCGAGATTAGAATTCATAGAATTCGAGCGAGCGATTCGTGGAGCAGTTGAAGCTAATTGCGCGACGTCGTTCTTGCGCAATGTCGATCACGCTAGTCGAAGATTGGACCGATAAATCACCGGTACTTTTTACTAGTTGTGAGTTTTATCGTCTGTTCGTACGCCGTCGCCGTCGCCGTCGACGACGATGAGACGGTGAAATGAACTCGCGAACCGCACGTTCTCTTCTTCCGCTGAATTTACTCTCCACGTTTCTTCCATTTCTACCGTTCACGGGAAAATTCACGGGAAACAGATTTACCGGATTTTTTCCAGTCTGTCTGCCGTGGGACACAGGGAAACTGTAGAAAGTTCAACCTAGAAAGTGCATGAAATTAGAAATTCCGATGTAAACGTAGAATCCTAGCGTCGCCCCCCGAGCTGCTTCTCTTCTGTCTACTTTATACAGGAATATTTCATAAATCAGTGCAACGAGTTCTCTCAGCTTCGCGTCCTATATTTTACACCTTTTTCGAGATTTTTCACTATCCTATCTACCTCCGAAAGTTTCACACTTCATTTCTTATAAGCTCATAATGCAGAACTTGAATCGTCTGGCTATGTGCGTTTTTATCTTATAACAGATTTTTATAAAAAATTAACCATTTATGATGTCAATTCACAAAATCTTTCATGTATTAAGATTGTATGAGCCGTAAAATCTCTGCCAAAGGTTTAAGAAATGTTCTGTCTAATATTTAAAGCGATAAACTTCACAAAGAAATGGTTAAAACGTTGCTCCTCGATGGAGTATGATCATCAATTTCCAGATCCCGCAAGGCTGAATTTTCGAGGAGGCCAGTTTCCGAAAGCTACGGGGAGCAAATTCGTCATTGTCCGGAACGAGAAATTCGCGTGAAGTGACTTATCGCTGCAATTTCCAAGCGCGACCGATGTCGATGTCGTCCGACAATGGACATCTGCAATGGAATTCCTAGGTTCTTGTTTATCTAACGTTAACTCGGTACACAGGCCAAGATAAAGCCTCTTCGAATCAACAAGCCGGACGTTTACAAGCGTGATTCTATGGGATACGAAAACCACGGAACAACTAATAGTACATTGGTGACCAAATTGTGTTTCGCGTGGCTCTTGTAGACATTCAGTGTGCTTCTCAGAAAGGGTTGAACAAAAACGACACGCATTTCAGTAGATATTGCAACTTGCAACAATCAAGAGAGATCAAATAATGTTTTGGATGATTTTAAACAAAGATTCACAGAAATTAAAATCTTGCTTCATTTTAATATCAAGAATAATATAAAAAAATCTTGAGACTACTCTTCCTATATTCTTTCTTATTCAGTATCAAAACGACATTTATATTCAATCCTTTCTAATTTTTATAAGCAATTGTATATGATTGTAAATATATATCATTGTCCATGATATACTGAATGTGAAGCTTCGGGAAAAATTGATTATTCTCAGAGTATTACATAGGTGTGTATCACGTAACTCTGATCGATAACGTTTTCGATCGGTCGAGCAGCAATTCCTTCGTTTGCCCGCGAGCTGCATTGTGTTTTTCATTCCACGAGGTGGATGATAGTCGACGGTAGACGATGACACTACGGGAGATACCTGCTCCCCGTTGATGGCTATGCCCAGAAATTCTTTGGAAAATTGCATTTTTTCACGCGGCGAAAAAAAATTCCACCGGTGCCGGACGAGAAATAGCTTCGCGCGGAATTTGTTGGCTGAAGAAAAGAGCGAAAAAGTGAAATGGAAAAGGAGGAGAACGTCGGGACGATCGATACTTATTTCTCGCGATCGACGACACCAGTTTCATGATATTATTCCCGAGTCGAAAATTGCGCGCGTACTCGTATTTCTGCTGTTAGGCAAATTTATGACCGTCGGGTCCCGTTGGTTAGAAGTTGGCTAATTAATATCGCGATCTAATTTCGCGGGAGTATCGGCTGGTGCCAACAACTGTAAGATAGACGCGGGAGAAGGGAAACGTGATGTAGGAAAGTTAGTTATTTGTGTTCGTACCGTCACGCCCAATCGCTTTTTAAACCGATATAACAGTTCATAATCGAATGAGTAACAACTTTTAATAATCTGGCTACGCTCGGTTTTTCATTTAACAAAGGAATAAATAATACACCGAACTTAACATTTAATATTACGTATTAACAAAAATTCGAATTTGTGCAATTTTTTATAGAATTTTTTATAGACTTAAAGAATTTGCGAGATCATCGCGAAACATTCAAATCGTTACGGCCCTGACTACTATTTTTGCTAGCATCCGTGACATATTTAAAACGTCAGAATTATTTCACAGCCGGACATACGGATTATACGGATCTTTGCATTCACGTATAGGAAATAAGGCGAGATTCGTAATTTCCAGTTCCAATCTTGTCTTTATGGGAGTGATTAGGTTAGTGCATATGAAACTTCCCTTAGTTTTTCAAATTTGAGTATTCTGGTCGAAATTTACAATGTATGGTTTATCAAATATTATCTCACTCCGTGTTATAAAAATTTATTCATTATTGACACAGAAGATTATTGAAAATGAACATTTAAATGAGCTAATCATTTGTATAGAAGATTGGTTTCCCATCGGGAGATTAACTTCCGTACATGTATTCGCATATACCTGGTGGGAAGGAGGGAGATAATGTACGGCATTCCGTGTATAGCAGACAAATCCCCATTACAGTCGGGCCATTCATTGTTCGTTCTTCGCCACGAATCCGATGAAAATTCATTAACGCTGGGCATTTGCGAATGAATGTCCGCGTAATCGGGAAGTTCTACCAGCATTCATTAATTTTGCGGCTCTGAATAGCCTCACAACTTGACGAATAGTTCGTCCCGCCGAATAAGATTATCTCGTTGTATCTAAATCGAACTTCAATTTGTTTGTTTTATTTAAAAAATAATTGGTTCGTAATTTCAATTAAATAAAAAGTCGATGTTTCAGTACTATGAAAATTCTAATTAGATTAGCATTAGCATTAGATGCGTGGCTACTGATACGGTTGATCACTCACCCAGCAATTTGGGGATATCTGGCTTGTTAATAACATCTAAAGTCAATTATTATCCAGCCATCACGAATTAGCATGACAATGATCATCAATCTGGAAATACGCTATGCCACATGGAATACTACATAGATATACACCAACGGTTATACCACGGTAGGCTATGGTTTTGTCTAAAACCATCTTGATCAGTCGTTCGATTACTCGGTTATGATTTCTATCCACGGTTAATGAAAGCTGCTTCAAGCATCATTAATGTAGCATGTGAGTAATAATCCTTCTTGTTTCCTGATAGGAGGAAACCGAATCCGTGAGCCCTGAAAAAGAAATAGAAATCCAAACCCTTCCAGCAAAACCGTAAGTGAAATTATGATATATAATCCTTACACTTACAATTCGTTGATATTCATAATTAATAGACTGCAGATTTCATGCATGGATAGACATGAAAAAAGCGCAAAATATACAAAAGTATGTAAAGTATTTCTTTTGCATTTAATAATATTTAAAGAATCAAAGGAATTGTTTTTCTCATCTTATTTTTTTAAATTGATATTATATAAGTTTTATTTTATGTAAAAATCCGCAGTCTAGTTAATTAATTACGCTCATCCATTTAATTTGCATATAAAGATATCATTGCTAAAATTTCGCTTTTTATTTTATTTGAATAAAGTTTGAGTAGTGCGTGAATGTAACAAAACTGGATGAAAGTGTAAAAGGTATCTCTACGGAGACTGGTTCGAATGCATTTACAAATTGCAATCAATGCAAGTACCTCTTACATGATAGGTACTGTTGCATATAAATTTTTGCCAGAAAGAACATGTGCAAATATGTACAATACCATGGCATGTATCTATAGATCATTGTGTTCATTTCATACGTGGTTTTGTATGTATAAATTTGAAAATTGACCAGAGATAGAAACATCAGCGGCGAGAGTAAAGTGGCGTTTGAACGCGTTACTCGCGGATTCGATCTCGAAATAGTTTGATGATCACTGATCTGTAATTTTAGTCCAAGGTGTAGGTTGTATGACGCAAACTGAAGCCGCCGTGTCGAAAGAAACAGGAAATCACCGCGGACGTTCACTGTTTTCGTGATTCGGCAAATTTTTTCAAATTGCGCAAGGGACAACCTTTTTGGCTAAGTGACGCACCAGTTTCCTAATTTTATGCAAATGCGTTATTTATTTCTACACTGCAGATTTTTATGTAAAATAAAACATTTGCGTTTCATTTCTCTCAGTAATATGAAAGTGAAATTTGAAATTTTCACACAGTTTAGCGTTTCCATTTTCTTATTATTTGTTTCATTTAAGTTCAAACCAGGGATCACGTGTACAAACTGTTCTTGGCTGAATGACGTGAAATCTGGGAACAATCCCTATCTCGTATTTACGACGTATTACTAAGAATCTATAAATAAAAATATGTATGTGTATAATTCTATTTATTTATTCTCATCCGCTTGCAACATCCGAACCTGTCATAACTTCTCATTAGTATGACTCAAGCTTGTTAAAAAGATTTGATTGAAACCTTAATAGACATCGCCTTTTAAAGTATTTCCCGTAATAACGAAAAAAATATATTCGGGGTAGAGAAGATATTCATCAGAGTGGAAAAAATTGAAATGACACAATGCATTGAAACCGCAGGGAGACGGTGAGGTCCATGGAACGGATTTATGCCGTGCCATCGGAAAAGCTGCGCGTTTGGTCGATTTGGCTCACGAAGGTCGGGGAACTTGCCGACGAATGGCAGCGATGGTTACGTGCCCACATTGATCTCATTATCAGGCTCGCGATAGAATTGCAAGGTATAGAGAAGAAAAGCGTAACCGAGTTAGAGAAAAAAGAAGAAACAGTGGCGGCGGTAAGTTCAGAGTTAACGGCTGGAATAAATTCTCTGGTCAGACAGAAAACTGCAATAATGACCGAAACGTGGATTCTTTGAGATTGTTCAATTTAAAAATCTTTATATTGAAACGATATCAAGCGGAAGGTAAAAGGGTGAGAAAATTTTCTATGCAACTGAAGTCCGTTTATCCACGTAAAGTTAGACATGATAAATGATTAGGTTTCACTGTCGTTGAAAATAACGAATATAAAAAATCATATTGGGATGAGATAGATTACTATTAAACACTTCAGAAACATCAAGAGAAGATGTTATTTAACCGTAAAAATAAGCGAGTGCTTACTTTTTATAGATCCAATAACAAGTAGGCTTGCATTTATCTGATTTTTTTGCGGCGTCCGATTATATAGAGACTTCATTAATGAGTCAGGTGTTATTGGGCGAACAGTTGCAGAAACCTGCGCGAAAGCTCGGTCGTTCTCTCACGAATCGAAGATCGATAGAGCTATATCATCGCATCGGTTCGCCTCGATATCGCTTTCCAATAATTTTCAACGGCTACAGAGATAACGTGCGCACGGTTTCGCGTTCATCAAACGTATGTAAGAGATTATATCCTCGTAGTACGACGCCGCGAAGCGCGCTAGGCATTGTTAACGAAAGTCCTTTAACAATGTGCGCCATATATATTGCGAAGATGTGTAAATATCTTGCAATCGGGCGAAGTGTACCAATTCGAGTGGAAAATTAGAGGCTGTCGCTGTTTCAAATCCAACCAACTTGTGGTACAGTTCACGTGTACAGAAAGTCGATAAAGAACTATTTAGGAGCTTCGAGATGTCTGATCGTCATAGTTTGAATGTCATTATAAAAAAGAATTATCGTATTATATTCACTTCATTAAGAAATAAAAATAGTGAACCCGATTTGTGGTAAAATTATTCAAAACTTCATATCTTTCAAACGCGGTTACAGCGACTATCTAGTTTTCCAATTTCCTCAATTTCCCGTATCCGTCGTGTATCTACCAGCTCGTTTAAACGTGGAAAACTTAATTTTGTCAAAGCTCCGCCGGTGGTGCGACATTGAAGCGCAAGTACCTTGATTTACACGGGTCACTAGGAATGGCCATGTTCCGCAGCATCCAGTTGGTTAACCTTGAGTACCACAAAACCCGAGGCACTGCGTTTCGTTCGACCCGTGCATGGAGCTCAGGTGTTGGCCGCACGTTTTCAGTCTGTTCTCATTCTGGAGATTTATACTCCAGAACTGGTTGCATGCTTCAGGGAGAAGGGAAACGTTTAAATCTCTTTGCCATTGAATTCTACCCTGTGTTATTTGCGGGTAACTACACGCGAACAGGGAAATTGGTGAAAGAGAAGGACATATGCAAACCACATGGCCTTTTTATGATCGGAACTATTATTGCTAAATAATGTTTATTGTCAAATTTTATTATTTCCTACAATAGTATTGCTATCAATCCTAGTATTATCAGACTGATTTATTTAAGTTTAGAGTGGCCTGCATACGATTTGTTCTAGCCTGCCACTGGCACCCAAATAAAATGAACGATATTTATGGAAACTTGAAAATAAAGTTAAATGTCGATTCTTAATGAACGAAATTAATAACCAGAACACGTATGTTATATATAATTATTTATTATTGCCATTGATAATATATTTAATGTAATGTTGGGAAAATATATTTCACAAATAAAATTCTTTAATGGTTTTATTACAACTAAGAAAGTGCTCATATATTATTCTTGAAGGTAGTATAAAAGTAAAAGTACCATTCTTGCACGTGTTGCTTCACCATTTTGACATGAAATGGTCGACCTTGGACGCGAAAATTAATGAGTATCGCAAGATCAATCGAGTAATATAAGTCGAGGATGCAACAAGATAGTTTGCTTGTTGCCTTGATCAAAGTAGCCACTGTCAAGGCAGTCGAGGTCACGGCGAATCTATTACATCCTTATTCTATCCTGTGACTCGAGTTTAGTTATATATAAACTCTGGTTTCGCAGTAAAACAAAAGATTTATGATGTCAATTTGAAAAATGTGATTTACATAGAAATTTCTTTTAGTATTTCATACCTTTTTATTACATCACATGCATTGTTTATATTTTCTATAAATATATGAAATCCTCATTTTAGTTAGATAATAATTTCCTGTACATTTTTTATTAGTTACCTGCTGGAAACACTGCGTGTGATGCATCGAACTGTATAGGACATCAAATTATTAAACGATTTTTAATTGACTTTCATATACAGACGGGTTCAGGCAGTTCGTACCACCAGTTACTGATCAACCTCTACACTTTAATTTGCATAAGAATTCGCAGTTAAATTATTATACTAAAGTCCTGCTTAGTAGGAAATGCAGACATGATTAAGAGATTTCGATTAAAATTTAATCGAAAGAGCGTATTTACTGCGTAATTCTTGAGGTCGAGCGACGTGGTGGTCGCCTCACGTTTCTCTCACTTTTCACTAGGCAGCCAGGCAGATAAGCGTGTTTAATTTTCATTTTAATATGCATTAATCGTACGACGTTCTGTTTGCGCAGGTCAAACTGAAAGTTTCACGCTATTCGCGTTACAGCCTTGTACCGTCTTCCTCTTTTGTTTCGTTTCGTGTCGTCCGCGTGCCCATAAATCACATTTCCCTTCTTTTCTCATATACTCGTGGTCACGAAACACACTTTCGCGAAATTCTTCTCAGCTATATCTCAAACGGTATTAGAGGGGAATATTTTCTTAGAATAATCTCAAAGAATCACGTTTCTTACGGTCAAACGAATCTCCATGATTTTTCACTAACATTGTACAGACATGAAATCGAACATCCATTATGTGAACTATGCAACTGGGAAACAAATGTATTCTCATAAAAGAATTTTCACATAATAGAATAACAAGCGATTCGCATTCCAATTGTATTATATCGTATAGAAACAAATGTGTTTATACAAGCACTTTGTTGGTATCATACTTACATGCAGTATTGCATTAGAAAATATATTGTTGTATGTAATAGTACGTTCATATAATGGGTGTACATATAACGAGGGTTCTACTATATTACCTTAAGTTGTTGCAATTTTTCATCATGCACTTATTCACATTCGTTCAACAATTGTTCCTAATTTTCTTCCAGGTCACACAGGTCACACAGGTCACACAGACCACACAGGTAACAAAGGTCACACAGGACGGCGTAAATGAAATCCAGGTTGAGGAGGCTTCTAGTTTACGTGAAGAAAGTGTGGAGCCTGTATTTAGCGAGGCTGCGCTCGATGAAGGTGAGGGTAGAATGATTTAATACCACCACGAATGAAGTAGTACAAAAGTATTCCCATGATAAGAACATGAAAGCGGTAGTAGTACTGAATTTTGATAAGCAAACATCCAGCTATGGAGAGAATACGATTTCGACATACAGTAAAGTCAAAATGCTTTCATTTCACCCCTATTTCGGCTAGTATAGCATTTATCACGGAGTAAATCTGGAAGCATGAATGTTATCACTTAACTCACGTTCGCCCAAACAGATTTTACGACGAGGAAAATGCCTCGGCACGACTTTAACGTTATCTTAGAATTTCTCGTATTTAATAAGTAATTCCACTATAATGTATATAGTTTACTAAGTCCACCCTTCTGTAACGACGCTTGGCAATAAACTTTCGAAAAGATAAAGAAAGTTTCCTTTATCCCCTCACCGTCGAGTACGGGGGGGTTGAAAGGAAGCTAGCTCTATCTCGTCGAACTTCTTCACCGCGGTAAACAACCGGGGAGATGGTCTCGCTCCTGGCGAGGTTTAATTAAGGGATGCAATACGTAAGAAGCTACGAATTTGCTGAATGGCAATTAATATGCGATCAACACAGATGCTGCAGACATATTCGCAGAAGATAGCGAAATTACCCTTACCATGGAACCATCCGACGCAACGATCTATATGGAACTGCCGGAAAAGCCGAAGGATATAGCGGCTGAACCATCGTTGCTGACTGCAGCAGACGTGAGCGACTTGGAAGATGTGGTGCATGTATGGCCACTCGGAACTCCATGGATACATTTAGGACAGGAAGATGAAGTGTACGAAGAGCCATTCGAAGTAAGAACGTTCACTGATATTTATTATTAACCCTTCCGTTCCGGGGTAATTTTTTTCAAGTTTATTCAAATCTACAAGGTTTTATTATTATTTCTTATTTCTATAAATCATTGCAAGGGAAGTTGACTTTTGAATACAGACTGAAATAAAACTAAAAGGGTTAGAGATAACAGTCGCTGTCTAGGTTTATCGCGTTCGGTGCCCGCAATCTCGTAAGAATCAGTCCAATCTTACGAGGGGAAACTTTCCTCGCTACGGTGAAGAGCACCGTTGCTCGCAACTTTTGAACTTGCTCTCCACTTTACACGACGTTCTCTAAACCGTTATGAAAAAGAAAGAGTTTCTTTACAGCGATTGCCCATACCAAGGACCGAGCAGGAGATGAGAGAGTTTGTGAAGAAGTTCACGCATGAGGCAACCATTTACAGATCCTACTACAAACACTGGGAAGATGTCGCAAAGCAGGTGAGATGAACTGCACTCAAAAGTCGCGTATCCATTTCTATCATACCGTCGTCTCATTATACACAGGGAAGGATTGAATTAATTAAATCATTCAATATATTTTATAATAAAGCATCAACTGTTCTGATAAAAATAGTTCGTTTCGCTAGAAGCTGTTGTATATAAATTTCTAATTTGCTGGAACTTATTGAATTAATGCATTCTTGCATTTTGGGAAATCGTAATACATTTTTATGAGTTTTTCTGATGGAACCAGTAATTCTTGTTATTTTGAATAATAATTCTTGTTGACTCATGCATGTTTTACGTTACGTCGTAAAACTTATGGATGGCAGTATGATACACGAATGCAACAATGATAGAATACGAGGATAAAATGTGATATATATATATAAAACTATGATACATATCTTGTCTGTCAGATTAATAGGAATTTGTTGCTTGCAGGCAACCAACGAGGTCGGATGCAGGATGGTGATGGCCACATGGATTGTGCAAGGAAAAGACACGACAGGCAAAGTGAAACAGCAACCGTGCCCGAGACCTATGGGCATGACACGCTCCCGTGCCACGCTGAAGTCGAAGAAATCCGTCGTTTCGGCGAAATCAAAGAAGTCCGCAATTTCGGCGAGATCAAAAGCGATGTCCAAGAAATCGGAACAGATCGCCGAATCGGAAGCGGCTTCTACGCCGACTCCCGAAAGTCCTACCGAAACTGAAACCAGTGAACCATCGGAAGAGGTACATTCACTTTGATTTAATAATATTAAATTAATTATAGGTTTATGTTCATTTAACGTTATTCATGTGAGAACATTATGCAACAATTATGCTGTATATATTATTCATAATCGAGTCATAAATTTTTTGATTTCGAAATTGCTTGAAAAATTGTTATAGTAGAATCTGCATTAATCATTCAGAGTTATGTGCAAAAGTGTACAGAGTATAAAAAAAGTAGTAGATATCATTATTTTTGACTGCTAAAAGAAAATTCAATTTGACTTTATTTTTTAAGTTGACGTTATAAATGATTCATATTGAAGATTATATACTTATGTGATGAGGAACAACGTGTACGTCTCACGAAGTGCAAGTGATTCATTCAAGTTTTTATAACAACTTTTACGAGTAGTTCTCATAAATACTGTAGCGATTAAATCTCTCTTACTCGTTTGATACTCAAGGCAAACGTTTTTCTCTTACCTCCGAGTGAAGTCTTTGAAGCTTTCACGGTAGTTGATTACAAAAAAAAGTAATACTCGGCCGGTAGATTATGAAGGAGCGTCTTAATTAGTGGCCGACGTATTAATTTCTGCGATTAATATATTTTACCGTTACCCGGAAGTATTTAATAAATCGGTAAAGCTTCTCCTTCCGTCTGGTCTCATCTTTTTACCTGTCCACCGTTTTGTTCGCATGATTAACGAAAGCTCGGTAAATACCGTCGCCGCGTATTTTCTGAAATTTTTCCTCCCGATTTATCGGCGTTTCCTGCTAATAACGGGACCCGTTATCGGATAAAAAGTATCCGATAATAAACGATCCAGTACGCTTTTTCAATCATTTTTTCCATTTCTCTTATCACCCGCGTGCTCCATTGATCATCATCGTCATTAAGAACCATTTAATAATTCTTACATTAGTTACACTTTCGGTATCGACGTTTACGTTGAGTATCGAAGATCGATGTAACGGTTGATTGATACTGCCGCCGAAGATTAATGACGAGCAACCGATATTCGAGGCTGATAATTCTTTTCAATCTGTCCAGAAAGGAGTCCACTTCTTACCGCGTACCACGTCTTTCCGTTTAGAAAATATTCATTCACTCTACAGTTTTTCCCTTATTAACAAATCGCATATAGTTCTCCCTTATTAATTCTCATATTATCGCCCGATTATAGGATCCTTTCGCATCGGAGTCGGTAGCTACTGTGAAGAGCGTTGCGGTGAAAGCGAGCAAGATCGAAGAGCCTAAGATCGAGTCGATCGAGTCGATCGAGATCCAGGTGGATGATGTGGTCAGGGATTGCGCGCGTGCTGCGGAACCTATACCTTACCACTTTTACGTGAGAGCGGAACCGGATATCGATATAGCGATAGAACACGATGATGAAGTGGTCATTCCCGAAGACACCGATCGCGAAAGAATCGTAGGCGATTACAGGCGTCTTTTCTTCAATCTGTTCGACAAGCCTTGCAAAGGAGGGAAACCGTGGATAGCATAACAAAACAGGATAATCATAGCAAAACAATAAGAATGCCTCTGTACTCAGTCATACAATAAAGACAATAGTTAACAGCATTACAAGTACCATGTAACAGTCTCGTTTTTTAATATCCTTGTATTTTAAGCAAATCGAATATATTCCTACGTAGGAAAATAGGATTCATTGAACACTTAATGTAACTACTGACCATTACAAAGGAACATACCAATATTGATTATTGGTAAATACTCTATTCATTTGATCTCGAATAATTTAAGAAGTTGATTCACGGACCGAACATTCGGTTTTGTGTTGTGAGTATAAAATCGAAATAACGCGACTCGCAATGGAATCGAATTCGGTCGCATGCATTTTCGAACAAGGAGTACAGGATTAAATTTCCCTTTATTGGTTTCCACAAGCTTATCGAAACTCGTAATCGATTCAATGAACACACTGGAGACTCGTTTCTGCTACGTGATGATCCGACAACAACGATGCGTGGGAGAGAAATAACGGGAGAAGTCATCGAATGTCGAACAGGACAGTAACGGAACAGACAATCTTCGTATGCAACTTAGGTTGTAGTTCCTCTACGGATGTTCGTAATGAAATTCATTCAGCAATTTTTCTAACTGTTGCCCAATTTTTGTAAAAATCATATTTCAAGTTTTCTTCCGCAAAATCAATCAATATTAATTACTAGCGTTATAGTGTCTAATGAAATTGCTATCTGTTATTATAAATCTTATTGACACACGGGAAATTATTTCAGTTCCAATTTTATTTTCAACAGCGAACGATAAGAGGGAAGTATGATGAATGATTTTCGACCGGTAAATTCAAACTCCAAAAACAAAACGACATTTCATACGTACCAGTCTAATACATAAAGTTTGAAACGCGGCCACGCCATTTTTCCCGCAGCTGCCACTTTCTGTCCTGTCAGGATTCTACCTCTCGTCATACCGATTCCTCTCTCTCTCCTCGGAAACGAACTCCCCACCCGATCGCATTTACATTCCATGTAATATCTGGTTTCGACATCAAAGGTGACGACGAGGACATGACGAGACGCGACGCGACGTATCCTGTCAGAGCCTTCCGACGTAACTGATTTGATGCCGCATCCTTAACGTACATAATCAACAGCTTAATACGCATCAAAGCTAGCTTCCATATTTGCCGATGTCTCGGGAATATCCGTTGAAAGCTTCGCCGTAGTTCTTTTTAAATATGGTTTTCATTCGAGTCGAAGAATGTCTGAATTTTACGAAGACGATAATTGTTATCCTTTAGTAATAAAAAATTCACGCAAGATTTAAAAAAATGTTTGAATCAGATTAGAATTTAGGTACATCAGAAATTGTAGAGAGCGAATTTTATATATATGTAACGTGCAGGAAATAGAAGAAATGAATGCACTATAGTATAGAAATATATGAAATATTAAAAGTTTTTTAATATCTCCCTGTGGAAAGAGATTCACCTGAGATGGCATGGAAGGAGATATTCTATTCAACCCATTGTCTCGCATTGCAGTGTTATACTCGACAATGTATAGTTTCTGAGGTATTGAAATTAGAAGAGGAACGAAAAGTAGCTGTACTTGGGACGAACTTTGAAATTGAGATACGTGCACGTATATCACGTGAAATTTGATGAATTCTAGCACGGCCCACGTTGCAACGATTTTGCAGGCACCGATGTTGCAGCGATATCGATCCTTCCGCCGCGCTACAATATCGTATATTTCCCAATGGCCGTAAGTGTTTCGTGTAGACTAATTGAGAAATACACGCAGGCCGTAATTATCAAGAACATAGGTAAACACGCGGCGCTCAGCGCATTATCCGCGGTTCTAATTAATTTTCAATGACAGCGAGGGTTCCGTTGTGCGAATCTCGAGTCTCCTCTACCGAATAGAGCGTTAACTTCGGCCGCAAAGAAAGGCAAAGCGTGAACGTGATACTTGTAACTCAATTAGTTGGAAGTTTTCAGGGGTCGGTTATTTGATTTTCGTCGAACTCCAGACCGAAGATTCTAGACAATCTTCACAGGCTCCCGTCGGACGAGCTTCTCTTCTTCGAAGTTTCGACCGTTCGAGAGAGACTCGAGGCTTCGGAGCCAGACGAAGCTCGATAACAGGTTACCTCCTTAGAATCGTTCGAATTAAGCCACCAAGAGACTTGTAAAAAACATTCATACATTTTCAGAGTAATTATCAGGTTCACACTGATGTCATTCGTTGGATCGTTTTCTTCAGACGTCGATCAATACAGACGTCATCTGCCTCCTAGGTGATTTTCTTCACATTCGTTAAACTATGCAACATTAAGATGTTACTGACATTCTGTACAGTTTTATATTATATTTCATACAAAATGCTGTGCAGAACAAACTAGACTGTATCATAGATAAAATGCGGATTTTGAATATAGAGAGACTATGAAGAATGCATGTACTGTATAAACATATATGAGAGATTAAAAGTCGATTGTATATGAGAACGAACTTTTTAAATCGGTGCCATAAATATTCTATTTTACGTAAAAATCAACAGCCTAATTGTGGAAATCGGTTGTACAATCACGCACGTGCTTTTCGTTGGGTTTAAAAGAATCGGACGCTCTCAGCAAATATCGATATCGGCACCGGTTTGACCGTACCCTTTAACCCGTTGAGAAAATTTCACGAAACTCGCCACGTCGAAAGTGTCCGACAATCCTTACCAGCCGTGTTTCCGTTTCCTCGCTCTTTTTGTTCGCCCTTCCCGTACCAACTTCGCTGTATTTACATCTCATTAATTTTAACGACTGCTGAACTTTTTTACTGCGTGACACGAGGTCTCGCCACGAAGAAAGCTGCGCTGCCCGTTCGAAGCTGCTCAGCCAGTAGATTACTTCTCGGCACATAATTTCAAACAAAAATTTCGAGGAAACGTAGATTGAAGAGAGTCGGAAAGTAACGGGATAAAAGAGCAAGAGAGAATGCAACGAAAAGTAATGCAGGACGTTCGTAAAGATCAAGACCAAAGTCGTACCATGTCTTAACGAGATCAAGTAAGTAAAGTAGAAACGAATTTTCGTCTCACACCTAATCTCATCAGAACGTGGTATAAGTTAGCTGCTGACTTTTCCGATATTCAAATAGCGTATCTGCTGGAATATTGTGAAAAAGGGAGGAAAGACGGGAAATTCGGACATCCCTTTCGCTGTATACGAGACACAATCTGATGACCTCATTAACTGTGTCGGCATCGAAACGATAAATGAGACTCCTAGTCACCGAAAGAGGTTCGCCCGCAGTGCCTGAGATGCACGGAACTGGAGGTCTTTTTACTTTTCTAGGTGGCTCGTGATTTATCGCTTCGCATCGGATAGAACGGTACGGGAAACAACTTTTAATCTATGCGTATCAAACGTTCACGGCATTGCCGTTTCGCAGAAACAGACTACTCTATATTAACCGTATCGGTATGTGAGCCGTGATTTACAATCGAAGCGACTGCATATAACTCTAATAACGTAGGTCGGCTATCGGTATTTTCTGAGTTTCCCAATTGCGCGTGATTTATAGTAGCCGAATCGAGTTACCGGATCGAAAGTTCGGCCCCAAACATCATCGGAGTTTAAAAGAGGAGGAAAAAAGGCTTTCGGATCTAGACCAACGGAAGTTTAATCGGGATCTGTTGTGTTTTGCGAGTTTCGCCTGGACATTTTCTCGGTATAAAGCAGTCGCTAGTTTAGCCGGCTTCTGGAGAGCCTGTTTAGCTTTATAGAAGCCCGTCCATGTGTGCGCGCCGGTGAGAAATGGTCGTGGGTATGCACTTGGGAAAAAACCAGTCCTGAGTGAGAGAAAGAACTTGAGAAAATTGAACTGCCAACCACGCTCGTGTGTATTACGAAAAAGGGGCTCGAAGTCCGTCGGAGTAATATCTTATAATTCCTTTCCCCTTGTCGTTTTGTCATTGATTCAACAACCACGTTGTTTGGCCGCTTTTCATCCTTTCGCAGTAGGCGAATATTTATCTTGATAAAATGCGAAACGTTTGTCTTTTTGTATTAGCCGTACGAAAGAACATTTCTTTCTAAATTCTACCTTTGCTTTCTCGAATTTCGTTGCCACTGTTCAACGCGGCTTAAATCATGGTTCATAATGTGTTGTAAAAATATAAATTATGATTAATGAACGAACGGATAAAGATCTTGAAATTTTCAGTTCATAATCGTTGATTAATCCTGGAGGTCATGAGATCTGTAATCACCCTCTCTTAGATCAGCCAAATGATTCGCGCGATGATCGATAAATCCTAGAAATGCAAGCGGGTACGTATTTTATTTTTCACGTGTCCCGAATTCATCGACGTCGCAAATAGCAATCGCTCCAGTCCATTCTCATTTTCACGGTCGAGAAAGCGAAGAACTGTTCATAGGTACATGATTCGAACTCGAGCAGGGCCCGCTGTGCCGCTGGTGATTTATCGTTTCAATCGCAGCGCAGAGCACGGGAGAAGCAGTTTTGAATCTAAGCTTATCGATCACTAGCCACGAACCGCATGGACTCGCAACTCTCGGGCACAGTAGAAACAGATGGCCATATATTAGCCGCATTACTTTGAGTGACTTTCAATTGGCCATCGTCAGGTTACGCCAAAATCTTGTTAAAAAACGAAGAAAGAGAGTCTTTCCTTTTTGAAGATTTGCATATTGCATTCATTTCTGAATCACCAGATATAATCAATTTTCATTGTAGAATTGTATTCGAGAACATATTTTAACATTGGCATTTATCTGGCAAGTGAAAAATTGTTGTTGATGTAACGGGAGTAGTATTAATGAATCAAGGATGATTCCTTAGACAATCATTGTCAGTGCCGATAAACGAGGTTCGGCGAAACGACAGGCAACGAGATTGAAGGCAAATTTATCGAGCCAATAGAATAAATTGGTATGTTCTGTTGGAGTTTCACGAGTTGACGTTAAACCGTGGGACAAACATTATCTTTATGTGTACGGCTAAGTGTTCCATCGAGCTGTTCGTTCGCTGACCAAACTGCGAAAGGGTCAAGTTTTGAAATTTCACGA